TCTTGCTTTTCGAAGCTTGATCTAAAGAGTGGATACCACCAAATCCGCATGAGGCGGGAGGACGTTGAGAAAACGGCATTTTAGACACACGAAGGGCACTACGAATTCTTGGTTATGCCCTTTGGGCTTACTAAGGCTCCCGCTACTTTTCAGGCAATGATGACGAAGTTGTTCAAACCATTGCTAAGGAAATTTGTTTTGGTATTCTTAGATGACATTCTAATTTACAGCCATAGTTCAAAGGAGCATTTAGGCCATTTACGAACTGTGTTGGGGCTGTTAAAGGAAGGGGGTTTTGTGCTCAATTTAGAAAAGAATTTGTTCTTCCAGGATACCGTGGAATACTTGGGGGACTATATTTCCCACGAAGGGGTGACAGCGGACCCGGGAAAGATACGGGTCATGGTCGAGTGGCCCGTCCCAACCACAGTGAAAGGAGTGCGAGGCTTTCTGGGTTTGACGGGATACTACCGTCGGTTTGTGAAAAACTACGGCGCCATAGCACGACCCTTGACCGATTTGTTAAAGAAGGGGGAGTTCACCTGGTCAGAGGAGGCGCATTGGGCTTTTCAGGCTCTTAAACGACGTATGACTAAGACCCCAATCCTTGCATTACCCGATTTCAAGGACACTTTCGAGGTCGAGACGGATGCTTCGGGAACAGGAATAGGGGCAGTCATATTGCAACGGGGGCGACCGGTGGCCTATTACAGCAAGGGGCTGTCGTCTAGGACAATGGCCAAGTCGGTTTATGAGATGGAACTTATGGCCCTGGTCCTGGCCATTCAGAAATGGCGGGCATACCTTCTTGGCAGGAGGTTTGTGGTTCACACTGATCAAAAATCCCTTCGCTTCCTTTTGGAGCAGCGGATTAGTACTCCGGCTCAACAAAAGTGGCTGGTGAAGTTGTTGGGGTTTGAGTTCGACATACACTATCGGGCTGGAAAAGAGAATGTAGTGGCCGATGCATTGTCTCGTCGAGGTGGTTGGGCACAGGGAGGTGAACTCCTGGCAATCTCGGGGACCCAATTCTTAGACATGGCTTTGGTGGAGCGCGAGATAGCCGCTGACGCCAAACTTTGCACCCTCAAGGAGCTTTTGAGTCGTGGAGAGGCGCAAGAAAGCCAATATGCCGTGGAACATGGGGTGTTGCTACACTGGGGACGGATAGTCATTCCGGCGGGTTCACAATTCAAACAACAGTTGTTACAGGAGTTCCACTCCACTATGACAGGAGGACATGCGGGGGCATTAAGGACTTATAAGCGGATAAGCGCTAACGTGTATTGGCCAGGCATCGCCAAGGATGTGTAACGGTTTGTGGCTGAGTGCGGGGTTTGTCAGCAGAATAAGGTGGAATCAACAAGCCCGGCGGGGTTACTACAACCGCTGCCCATTCCCGAGGCAGTGTGGGAGGATATTTCGATGGATTTCATCGAGGCGTTGCCTAAGTCCAGCGGGCATGAGGTCATTTTTGTGGTGGTGGACCGCTTAACCAAGTTTGCGCACTTCATCGCTCTCAAGCGGCCGTTCACTGCGAAATTGGTAGTGGAGGTGTTTTGCCGAGAGGTGGTGCGTCTTCACGGCATACCTCGGAGTATAGTAAGTGATCGGGATAAGGTGTTTACTAGTCTGTTTTGGAAGGAGCTATTCCGTCTCCAACAGACAACCTTGCACATGAGTTCAGCATACCACCCTCAAACTGATGGGCAGATAGACGTTCTTAACCATTGCCTAGAGGCATATCTGAGGTGCTTCACCAGCGGTCAGCCTAGGCACTATAGTAGATGGCTGTGTTGGGCGGAATATTGGTACAATACCAATTTCCACAGGGCTGCTCGCATGACACCCTTCCAAGCCCTATATGGTCGGGCTCCCCCAACATTGATACGATATACAGGGGGCAAGACTACTGTGGGTTCAGTGGATATGCAGCTTTCGGATCGTGATGAGCAGCTGAAACAGTTGCGATGCAACTTGGAGCGCGCTTAGGAATGAATGAAGCGCTATGCGGATCAGAAACGAGTGGAACAGGAGTTTCAGGTGGGAGAACTGGCTTAGCTGAAACTGCAACCCTATCGACAGGGATCTGTGGCTAGACATCTCAGCAACAAGTTGGCCCCAAAATACCGCGGCCCGTTTGAGGTGCTCGGCAAGGTAGGTCCTGTGGCTTACAAGCTTCGGCTGCCAGAAGGGTCCAGGGTGCACTCGGTTTTCCATGTGTCTATGCTGAAGAAAGTGGTCGGCAGACGTGCGGTTTCACAGGAACCAGTGATCGGCAACTTCGCGCCGGACATCTCAAAACCACTGTTTCCGGAGACCATGCTACAAGGGCGCCTGCGGAAGCAAGGAGGACAGCCCCTTAAGGAAGTGCTGGTGAAGTGGCAGGGCCGGGACATGGAGAGCGCCACTTGGGAAAGCGTTAAAGAGCTGCAAGCCCGTTTCCTTACTTTCGACCTTAAGGACAAGGTCGATTTTGAGGAAGGAAGTAATGTTACAACCGAGCCTAGGAGGAATAGATACGAACGGATGTATGCTAGAGGTGCTCGCAACATTTTCGGTTGGGGAAAGGAGATGAGTACATGAGGAGGCTGCTGAGTTGGCCTAGGCGGTTAGACTCCTAGGAAGTAGTGCCTAGTGAGGAGGGATGTTAGAAGAGAGATAGTGAGGGGGGCAATCATTTTTATCTTCATTCTGAGAATAATTCTACTATTGTATTGGCTGGCCGAGCTGAGCTCGTGGTTTCCAGCGACGATTAATCAAACGGATCCTTTGGTTGAGGTTCCTTCGGTAATCTAGTTGTGGTGTTGATCTATGTGCTTGTGTGTGTGTGTATTTCTGCTGCAGGTACCCGGAGACCCAACAGCGTCCTAGTACATGAAACCAAGGTCTGATAATGACCACAATTTAGAGCACTTCTCTTAGCTCATTTAATTCTCCTTCCACGTTGGCTCTCCCGAAAAGGTTGTAGCAAACTCTCTGCAAAGACCGATCTTTGAAAGTCAATATTCTTCCACTTCAAGCTCGTTGAATCGACAGATCTAGCTAAAAACATATAGAAGATATAAAACAACATAAAACCCACACAAGATTATAGCTTGGTGGGGGAACATAACTAAAAATAACAAAAACAACCAAAGTCCAGACAAATCTAGCGATTTGTAGGGACCAGACAAATCTAGCGATTTGAAGGGAAAAACAAACACCAATATTAGGAGAATGATTACCTTTATTCTATGAACAACTAAAAAAAAGAGAAGAAAACACAACACAAACTCCACCATCGTGTAGGTCGGTCGACGTAGAGCGTATGAGCGTATTTTAGAGATCGACTGACCAAAAACGCGCTTCTGGTAGCCGACCAGAATATTCTCCTTCTTTTCCGCTCTCTCTCTAGAATTCTCTCTTCAACTTTCAAGTTTCAATATTCTCATAAGTGGAATCTTTGATTTTTTTTTTTTTTTTTTTTTTTTTTTTTTTTTTGGGGGAGGGGGGTTTTTTTTTAAAAAACACTTTTTTTTTTTTTTTTTTTTTTTTTTTTTTTTTTTGAGGATAGTGGAATCTTTGATTAATAAGCACTTTTGATTATATTTTATTTATTTTCATTTGCCATTTCTATAGTATTTATCACAAAATCAAAATCAAAATAAATAAAATAAAATTGCAGTCTCTACAGAATTTAGTTTAAGTTTGTCATCGTTGTTTGAGTTCTTGTCGTTTTCACATTACTCGTCGGTCTTTACTTTTGTCGTTTATTTTGTTGTTTCATTTCTTGCTGTAGTTTGTTTGTCGTTTCGTGTCGTTTTTTTAAATTGATGTCGTTTTCCCTTTAGTTCTATTTGAGTTTTTGTCTTGAGATTCTTATTTCTTATCTTACGATTGCTGTCGTTCAGTTTTTCTCTCCCTACATTCGTGACGTTTTGCAGCGCTCGTGTTGTTCCCGCTGTTGTCGTTTGAGATGTTTTTATCACATTGCTGTCGTTGTTTCATTAGTTGTCGTTGATTGCTTGCTGCCGTTTGGGTTTCATTATTTCCACCTTATTGCGGGTTCATTTTGCTGTATTTTTTTCTTGTATTCTGTATGTGTTTTTATCCCTTTCTTTTTTCTTTTTTTTACTTGCGGATTTAGTTTGTTGTCGTTCGAGCTTTGATCCTGTAGTTCCTTGCTACCGTTTCATTATGTCATCGCTTTTCACTCTCTGAGTTTCATTTTTTTTTAATTGAAGTTTTTAGTGTCATGTTCTTTTGCTCATTTATTGTCGTTCATTTCTGTTGGTCGTTTACTAGCGGCTTTCTGTGTTGCCGCTGTTATCGTTTTCATATTGATGTCGTTTTAGCTGTTTCAGCTTGACGTCGTTCTCATTTGTTGTTCGTTTTCTTTTCATTAGTGACTTTTTTTTTGGGTGGTTTTCTTGTTTGTTGTTATTCTTTTCCTTTTTGTCGTTTTCATGTCATTTTAATCTCAGTGTCGTTCGATTTTAAAGTTTTTTTTTTTTTTTTTCATATCAGTCGTTGGAATTCTTTGTCGTTTTTTCTTTCTCGGTTTTCTCCATTATTTCACTTATAGCAGTTTTTCATGTTCTTGTCGTTGGAATTCGTTAGTGTTTAATGTTGCATTGCTAATGTTCCTTTCTATGTTCGTGTCGATGGCTGGTTCCTGATTTCTTCTCCTTTTTATCTTAACCGCCGTTTCACATTTTGCTGTCGTCTTTCGTTTTATTGTCGTTTTCTACCTTGCTGTCGTTTGAGAGAGGAAATGTTCATACTTTCTTCATTTTTCTTTTCTTTTTGGTAAAATTTCCAGATATGTAACAGAGCTTTTTTTACTTCCAACTCCAAAACAAAGTCATACGCGCATCTGAAGCCATTGGCCACATTCAATTCCACACAGCAAGTGTGAACTACTCTTCTTCTTCTTCAAGCCATTGGCCACATTCTAAAGACACCAGTTTTAAGGCTTAAACACCGCCTTGAAAAACCTGCCGACAAATAGAGTTTGTTTTCGCTTTCTCTTCTGCTCAAGTTATTTAAACTAGATTCGGTGATTCCCATGTAGTTTATATCAAAAAAAAAAAAAAAAAAAAAGAAGATCCTTTTGTTGTATTGTGTGATATTCTAGAATTTGATATAAAGCTTCTGTTTTGGATCAAAGGCTTCTGGAAATTTGATTGGTTTTTATGAGATTGGTGGAAAGCCAACAATAATTCTTGATTTTTTAGACGTTTTGTTCATTTTTGTCATCGTTCAGGTTTTGGATTACTTATTTTAAGAAGTGGGTTTTTTTCTGGACAAGAGGGTTTAGGGTTTAGGTGAAGTTCTGAGTTTGATCAGCTTCTAATTTGGGTCAAAGGCGGTGGGAATTCAATAAAAGGGATTGATTTTGGACTTTGGTGGAAGAGGGAAAACAAAACCCAATAAGAATTCTTTGCTTTCTTAGACGTTGATTTATCTATTTTAGGTGATTTTTTTTATTTGGGGTTGTCTCTCATTGCTCATCTTGTTTAATACTTACTTTCAGAAGTGGGTTCATAGATCCGGGGCTTTGAGGAGGGAATTCTTGATTTTGAGCACCTTGGGAAAGATTCTTGTGGTTTTGGTTAATTGTTGGTTTTGTTCTTTTTGAATAAGAAGAGAGAGAAGAAAAACAAGATGGTTGGGGCCAGTGATACAGAGATTCATAATAGTGTGCACTTAAATGGGTTAATACAGAACTCAAATGGGTCAATTGAGGAGAAGTTTGATGAGATCCGTGGACTTATTGGCAAAGCTGAAGGAGACCCTCTTAAGATAGTTGGTGTAGGTGCGGGTGCTTGGGGCAGTGTCTTCACTGCCATGCTACAGGACAGTTATGGTCACTTGAGAGATAAAGTTTTGATAAGAATTTGGAGAAGGCCTGGGAGAGCCGTGGATAGAGCCACTGCCGAGCACCTATTTGAGGTGATCAACTCGAGGGAAGATGTGTTGAGGAGGCTAATTAGGCGTTGCGCATACCTGAAGTACGTTGAGGCGCGACTAGGTGATCGGACGCTCTATGCTGATGAGATATTGAAAGATGGATTTTGTTTAAATATGATTGACACCCCTCTTTGCCCCTTGAAGGTTGTCACCAACTTGCAGGAGGCTGTGTGGGATGCCGATATTTTGGTGAATGGATTGCCCTCGACCGAAACTCGTGAAGTGTTTGAAGAAATTAGGAGGTATTGGAAGGAGAGAATAACAATGCCAATTATCATCTCTTTGTCAAAAGGTGTAGAGGCTGAACTGGAGCATGAGCCGCGGATAATTACTCCTACACAAATGATCAATCGAGCTAGTAAGACCGTTTCCATGATTTCTTTAGTTGTTGGTAACTTAGTTTTGTTTGAATAACTTTATCTCAATGTAAACTCTTGGATTTCGTATCATGTCGTGCTTTGCAGCTGGCGTTCCACTTGAGAACATTCTCTATCTTGGAGGTCCTAACATTGCCTCAGAGATATACAACAAGGAATATGCTAATGCTCGAATATGTGGAGCTGAAAAGTGGAGAAAACCATTGGCTAGAATTTTGAGGCAGGCCCATTTTATAGTGTGGGATAATGGCGATTTAGTTACCCATGAAGTCATGGGTGGTCTAAAGAACGTCTATGCAATCGGAGCTGGTAAGATTCCATTTTAGTTGCTTCATAGCTTCTTTATGGTTTAGCTAGCTCTTCCATTCCTAACAAGGAATGTACTTTTTGGAGCTATTTGTTCCAAAGTTTGTATGATCTCATTCATGTGTAATTACGAGACAATCACCTCCAACTGTTGTATTATGTTTATACTATAAACTTGAAGACATGCAAAAGGAAGACAATACCTTTCTGTTTTGGCATGTTAAAATCGAAACAGACTTAAGTATTCACTTGGTAAACCGAGTAGAAAGATGCCTAATGCTTTTTTATTTTTCAAATCACTTTATATGCTGCCGGTAGGGCACCCATCCACACGAGGCCTGATATGGAAAGATGGTTCTCTTTCACAGTATATACACATGAACCCATAAACATGTGTGCTTGGTTTTTGAAAATTATGCTGGCACTTCATTTTTTTGGCCTCAACCATTCTAACAGGCATGTTTAATCAAAATTTCAAGTAGCTATCATTTAAGGTATCTAAAATTAAGCAGGAGCAACCAATATGGAACATTCCTTGCCCTTCTCTTTAATGTTTTTTTTTTTTTTTTTTTTTTTTTTTTTTTTTTTTGTGTGTGTGCCAATTGCCCTGCTCTACTGATTTACTACGTGTGTTAATTGGAAAATTTTATGTGCACACAAATTTCTGGCCATGTGTTGTCTTGCTTATGTTGTAAGGGTTGTCCTTTTTATTATGCAGGAATGGTAGCAGCTTTAACGAATGAGAGTGCGACCAGCAAATCAGTATACTTTGCACACTGCACATCCGAGATGATATTTATCACCCATCTTTTGGCAGAGGAACCAGAAAAACTTGCGGGACCTTTGCTTGCCGATACTTATGTAACCCTGTTGAAGGGTCGTAATGCATGGTATGGGCACAAGTTGGCCAAAGGCGAGTTGAGCCTTGAAATGGGTGATAGCATCAAGGGAAAGGGTATGATTCAGGTAAGGGATGTTTACCATTTTTTCGGGCAATATTGAAGCAACATGCTAAGCCTATTTAGGATACAACTTGATTAACTTAAGATGAAGTTGGGAATACGACAATGTGGAATCAAGCTGAGAAACAGAACTTTCATACTTTCATAAGTGGGACAAATTGCTTAGTTGTTTTGGTTGCTTCTATAGTCTCTCTGGTTGAAAGAAACTGATTTTATACACACAAAAACAATGATAAACCTTACCTTGCAGGGAGTCTCTGCTGTGAAAGCATTCTTTGAGCTGCTAAGTCAATCGTCCTTAAGCGTCCTATATCCCAAAGAAAACAAGCCCGTTGCACCAGTTGAGCTTTGCCCTATACTGAAAATGCTATATAAAATACTCATAACAAGGTATTTGTGTTATTTTTCTTTGACAGTGAAGTGCTATATAAAATACTCCTGTAGTGAACTCTAATTCTTGTGTTCATTTGCATGTTTAGGGAATTCCCATCACAGGCCATTCTTCAAGCTTTAAGGGATGAGACGATGAACGACCCCCGAGATCGTATTGAGATTGCGCAAACCCATGTATTCTACAGGCCATCACTTCTTGGACAGCAACCTTGATATCATTCTCAAGTAATTTTCCTAAAGCAGCTACTTAGTGTAGGATCCAAGTTTCACTTAGCTTCAGTCCTAGTTTGTGGGGTGTACCATTGGGATTGGTTCATGAATTATTGTTTGTGGATTATATTTCAAATCCTTAATATTTTGATATGTAAAAATGAGCTCTTATATATATATATAGTTATGGAAATAGAGAAGACCGAGAACTCAAGAGGAGGAACTATAGCTCAATATTCATTAATCAATCATCCACTCAATTGAAAATTACAATCAACAAACTACTTAAGGAGAGTGAAATTCTAAATCTAATCTAATAATGATTAAATTGGAAATATCTTAATATATGCATCAAACCAAAGTACTGAAACTAATTCAAATCCTTTACAACGAAAGCTGAAATCGATTGCTTTACAACCAAAGATGTGATCCATTTTCACTCGTCGCAATCCGTTGAATAGGGACTTCATTTGGTTCGAAACCAAAAGGTTGTGATATTCCTCATTCTCAACGATGGATCATTACCTACATATGCAAGTTTATACAAGATTATAAGAAACCCGGATTAGTAAAACCTTTTTTTTCCCCTCTAAATATTGTGGCAAATGCATAATTGTCAATTAGTAAAATACAACTTTCTAAAAGTAGACTCGTCGATTGAAAACTACAATTCACTTATCATATCAGTTGATATAAAATATATATGTATACACACGCAATTTAAAATTTTGTTTAATGATTTTAATGATGAATCGTTTTCCTATAAGCAGAAGTGTTACCTCTAAAAAATTATACGAGTGTGAGCCTCCGGACTTGCAATGGATGATCAAAAAACTCGGGCATATGAGTGATTCCAAGAGCCTTCAACCGGTCAAACGTAGTCCAGAAAATGTAAACTACTGCTAAACGATCAATACATCTGCCTAGATATTTTAAGCATTTGAGATTAGGCTTATCAACATTCACATTCTTAATAAAATCATCGATGTACTCGACCCACAAATCCGCCCATTCAAGCACAGGGCTAGTACATATCAAACTTTGGAGCACTTCTGGAGCCAAAGTTACGTTGGTGAGATCGAGGATCTTCAACTTCTTGAAACCTTTAAATGTCGCCGGAGGTCTCAACCAACAATCACTCAACTCTAATTTGGACAAATTTTGAAAAGAAAACACGCAAGAAGGCAGGGGGTAGAGCTTGCTGCGGGTGTAAAACGTAAGAGACAACTCTTGGATATGGCGTCTTGGTAGACCAAGAATCAACCGATCTATGTCGCTGTTGGCAAGACTTAGGCTCCAACTATGGTAGAGCTTGAACTTGCGTATCGGACCAACATGGCGCGAAAGAACATGATCAATCACACTCACAAGCATGGGTGGATAACTCAAAAACGTGTCGTCGAACACAATAGACGGAGTGGTTGTCCATTTATGCCTCCACTTGTGCGACAAGAGACTTGTTCTCACTGCATCTCTAGTTAATAAACGAGACAAAATGTCTTCTATAATATGATCCGGTAATTCGCTGATTCTATCAATTTTTATGATCTCCATAACTGATGTGAAACCTAGAAAAGAAGACGAAGAAGAATTCAATAAACTAATGGATACATATCGTTTAATGCTACATCTATTTATCATAGTTTTTCCCCCTCTTTAAGGACATCTTTTTTTTTCTTTTTTTTTTTTAATGGTTGGGAATTCAAAATAAAAATGAGCCAGTACGTTATAAATACAAACTCAATTTTCGCTTATTATCATTATCTTGTTAAGGTAAGAGGTCAAAATAATTTAAAAAAAAAAAAACAGAGAGAGAGAGAGAACAATCCTTTTTCTTGATTTAAAATTTAAGAATCCGATATAATACATATATAATTCATAAACCGATTCCAAAGTAATCCCGAAAAACTAGAAAAGGGGGCAAAATAAACGCAAAAGTAATCTTTGTTATCTTCTTTTGTGGCACTAATCACTGGATTTCTTTAAATTCAAAATTATCTTAAACGCAAAAAATGTATCTCATTCGTTAAAGGCCTCTCCGAATAAGCAAATACATTTGAAATACAGACCGATCTTTATCTCTTATCATCCTTATCTTGTGGAGATAATATCTGTGATTATTATTTTGTTATGATTCTATAGATTAGATCAAAAAAATTAAAAGAATAAAAAAGAACACAAGTTCTTATTGATTGAACACCGTATGAACTAACAAAACTTTAAGGTTTAAACTTTAAAATTTGAAATAAAGTGGATCACAAGCTTGATTCATTTGAGAGAAGAAAAGAAAAATACCTATGAACCAATCCCAACGAGCAACAATCAAGTCCGACAAACTAGCAAAGAGGAAAAACAAGCCAAAACAGCCATTTTCTCCGATTCTTTTTCTCCTCTTCTTCTGATGTAGCGCAGAACAAGATATTTTTCATTGAAAACTTCACCCCTTTCTTTCTTATAATAATGAAAATTTCATGGTTACATACGGATCTGGCATATAATTAATTACAGGCTAAGTTGTCACACATAAAAAAAAGTTAAAAATAAAACCCAAAATAATAAAAATAAAATTGGAAACTAAAAAATCCTAAAAGTAAAGAAAATAAAGGAAGTAGAACGGGAAATAAGTTTTAATATTGGCCCAAGAATCAAGAGAAAATTAAATTTGAGCTTATGAAATTATTACAAAATAAAACTTACCCTAATTATGAAATTTCTAGTCAAGGCAGTTAATCCAAAACCTCGAAGAATACTTTGAGTAATTGTCTTCAGGCCAAAAGTGTAATTTCCACTTGCCTCCCGATAAGCTAGAAAATAGCCATTTTCGCCGTTTCATTTTTTTCTCTTCTTCTCATGCAGCGCAGAACAAGAGATCAGATTTTTTTAATTGAAAATCTCACCCTAATTTTTTTTTATAAGATTGTAAAATTTTACCACTACATATTATGGGACTGGCATATAATTTATGGGCTAAATTGTCAAACAAAAAAGAACCAGAATAATAAAAATAAAAATGGAAACTAAAAATCCTAAAATTACTAAAAATAAAGGAAAATAGTATGGGAAAAGTAACTTTTAATAGGACTCAAATCTTATGTCTAACTTTAGTGTCCTAATTGATGTCTAATCAATAATATCATGTCACAGTCGTGTAAAAAATTTGAAGTGTTTTTTTACTATTTATTCTTTTATGCTTATCATATGATTATGTAGTGTAATTGACTGGTTAGATACTAATTAGGATACTAAAAATTGGAAAGAAAATCTGATAACATCGGCCCAAGACTCAAGTCAAATTTCAATTTCAATTTCCAAGATCAAATATCTAAAAAAAACAAAACTTACTAATTGTGAAGTTTCCAACTCAGTTAATGCAAAACATCTAAGAAATCTTACTAAAAGAATCAATAAACTTCTAATGTTGAATTAGTTGCAATGCTATTTTATAATGATCTCTGCTCGCAACGAGGCACGTTTTTTGCACAATGACTTTTTCAGCTTCGATAATTTAGAGAAGCCCAAAATAGTCCGAATGGTCATCGTCTCTAGAACAGTTGATGTAGAAAGCATAAAGTTGATGAAATAGATTTCTCCTTCAGAACCAAAGATGCCACTCATTTCAACCCGTTGCAATTTGGTGAAGCGATTCGTTTGATCAGCTTCCAAGAAGTTGGGATATTTGATGTTCTTGAGGAGGGATTGTGCCTACATGTAATTTTAAGGTACATATACGTTAAATTCGCCTATTACATGTAATTTTAAGGTACATATACGTTTGCAACGCTTAAAAAATAAAGGTATATTTTCTGAATAAACCTAAGACAAAAGGTACAAAAAGATAAATAACCGTTAAATTAAAACTCACCCCGTTGCAAATGTTTAGTTCTTGTAGATTGGGAGCACTTCTTAGAAGGCAAAGAGCTGCTAAAATCTCTTCTCGACGGTTGAAGTTAACGGCCGTGGATAGATATTTGAGATTGCGTAACGGATACTCTCTTGGTAAACCACCGAGGGCTAGACACTGGAGCAAAAAGAATTTAGCAACATAGGATTTTAGTAATGGCAACTAATGACATCATTAATTAGAAATTGAAGCTGCTGAAATTTTGAGGGAATTAGATGGACGCAAAAAAGGTTTCCATGTAATTAAGAAAAAGGTATATAGAAACAGTAAATCAATAGCAAGCCCTAACTTATATTGAAATAAGCACCTTTATATATAATATATAGGACATGTTGCAATTTATCAAACGTAATCAGGTTGGTTGATTTTAAGTGTTTTTTAGTTTCATGATGTTTTTTCATCACTGTGCATATCATTTTCCTCTAAATAAAAAAATAAATAAATGTTACCTCTATAAAACCACCCTTGAGTGTGAGCCTCCGGACATTCAATAGATTATCAAAAAACCGGGGCATCCCACTGGTGTTGAGATGCCTCGACTGGTAAGGCTTAGACCACAAAATGGTGACTTCAGCTAAACAGAAGGTGTTTCGAAAAGTGATATAATTGGTACGCGTGCCGCAAAATTTGAAGACTCGGAGATTAGGCGCGTCGACATTGATATTTTCAACAAAATCACCAAGGTGAACCGGCCACAAAGCCACACTTTCAAGCACAGGGCTGCTACGTATCAGAATTTCAATCATATCTTTAGTCAAAGTTACGCTAGAGATATGAAGGCTTTTCAAATTTCCGAAACCTTTAAATGTCTCCGAGAGTTTCAATGAAGAATTGCATAACTCCAAGCCGGTCAATTTTTGGGAAAAGAGTGTGCAACTAGGCAACATAGAGCATTGGCGGGGGTAAAACATAAGTGACAGTTCTTTAATGTGGCTTCTTGATAGACGAAGAATCCACCGATTTATGTCGCGATTGAGAAGAATTTCTTCGTGATCGATACTCATGTGCTCGTTTATTGCGTAAATGTCATAGCAAAGCTTGAACTTGTGTATTGGACCAACATGGCGCGACAGAACGTGATCTATTGTGCTCACAAACTCCTCGTTTGATTCGAATATGTGTGGACACATAAAACTGTCACCGAACACAACGGATGGTAATGTAGTCCATTTAAGCCTCCACTTGCTCGACAATACACTTGTTCTCACTGCATCCCTAGTTGATAAACGACACAAAATGTCTTCTATAATATGATCCGGTAATTCGCTGATTTTATCAATTTGGTTCGTCTCCATAACTGATGTGAAACGTAAAGAAGAAATCAATAAACAATTTCACTAATGATACTCGTTTAATAAGCGATCATCAGTTTTTTTTTTTTTTTTTTTTTTTTTTTTTTTTTTAAATTAGAGATGTACCAAAGAGGGGCTACAGATTTTTGGAATTTAATCAATGGTTGAATTAAGGGGTACACATTTGAAATATATACGAAACTGCATTTTATCTCTTATTATCTTGTAGAGGTATATAAGCTATCATGTGATGATTCTACAGATAAGTTAAAAAAGAAAAAAAATAATCTCTGAGAATGGGATTTATCTTCTTTTTTTTTTTTTAAATTCAAGGGGTATTTTTAAAAATTCTCCATCAAATTAATTTTTGAAAGGCTTATCCTAGCGACAATGTGCGGAGCCTTGTAAAAACTACAATGCATAGTCCTCTACTGAAAATGGTATTTAAAAGGGAAAAGAAAACAAACATCCCTTAGAATGCATTGGTCTCAAATTTTCACTCATATTACCCTTTAGTTAAAAAATTATATTAATTAAAAGGGTATTAACGAAAAGTAAAGCGTAAAAATTTAAAGTGTGGATTCATTAATTTTCTCTATATAAAATACTCGTAACTATTAGAGTTGTACAAGAGGTACAGACTTCAAAGTTCAAATATGATCAACAGCCGGGAATTTAAAATAGAAATAAGCAAACGCATTTGAAATTCAAAACTGGTGTTAGTTATCTATTAAATCATTATCTTGTTGTGATATTATGTGATAGTTATCTTGTGATGATTCTACGGATCATCAGATCAATTATAGGGAAAAAAAATTATAATATGAATGAAAAATGAATACTCGTACCAATATATCCCAACATTACTACTAGATAATCACAAACTAGCTGCAAAGGGGAAAAACAAGCCACAATAACTAAAATAAATATTTTCTTGGATTATTTTTCTTCATCATCTGATACAGCGCTGCAATATCCTACAGCAAGTGAGATTTTGTTTTCAAAACTAAATTTCACCTAAATGTTTTCATAATTTCAATCCTATTTGTTATAGACTGACATAGTTATAGGCTAAAATCTCAACTATTAAAAAAATAATGGAAATAATTTTGGAAATTTGCTATGTAAGACTGCACAACTTACTATTTTTTAGCTTTGTGCCTCAAGAAATTGATGGCTGTCAGAGAACTAAATCACCCAAAGTGGATGAACAAAAAACGCAAATTCAACCGCGCAGGGCTGCTATGTATCAAAATTTCTAGCACATCTTGATCCAAAGATGCCCTGTGGAGAAAAAAGTATATCTTCAAGTTCCCGAAAGCTATGCATGTGTCCGGGGTTCTTATAGCGAACAATCACATAACTTCAACATAATCAAATTTTGGAAAAAAAAACACACAAGAAGGCACGGTGTAGCGCATGCGGATGTTAACGCTACAATTACTCTTTGATATCGCTTCATTATATCTCATTGCTTATGAGATATTCATAGGCTAAATTGTCCAAAAATAATAATAATAATTACAAAAGTGCAAATAAAATTGGGGAATGACACAAAAATACGCAAATTTTAATAAAAATAAATAAAAATAAAACGGGAAATTGACTTACCTTGGCTCAAGAATCAAGTCACAATTAAATTTGACTTTTCTATATTAAATTGTGAAATTGCTAATTCAGATAATTCAAAATCTCTAAGAATGCCTTTCAAAAAAAAAAAAAAAAAAAACCCTAAGAATGAAATATTCTTTCCTTTTCTAAAATAATTTTATCAAACCGATAATTTAATTCCCAATTGCCAGTTTCCCGATCCTACTTCAATCCTTACGAAATTACATAATTACCTTTTTTTGTGTGAAAGAATTAGCCTTTTTTTTTAAGTGAATTACCTTTTTTTCACAGATGAATAAAGTTTTTAACAAAATTGTCTCTAAACGAAAACATATTAAATTAATTTGTGAAAGGCCTATTAAAATGATAATATGTGGAATCTTTACAAAAACGACAAAGCACATATCTACACAAAAATGCCACATAAAGTACTCATGGCAAGGATTGATACATTTTCTTTATTAGTGAAGTGGGTATGCAAGTCTGTTCATTTGCATGTTTAGAAAATTTCTCATCACTGACCTTTCTTCAACTGTTAAGGGATGAAATGACGAAAGATGCCGAAAATCTATCGAGATTTCGTGAACCCGGTGAATTCTACAGGTCATCACTTCTTGGCCGGTAACCTTAACATGATTCTCAGCTCAAGTGATTTACCTTAAGTCAGGCTTCTTAGTTTAGGATTCAAGTACTTAATTAACGCATAGAACTGAAGTGCTAGTTTAGGGAGAGTATTTTTGGGATTGGCTCATGAGTTATGGAGTATCTTATATCCTTAAATTTATAGATAGTGAAAATGAAAGTTATTTTCTTTTTATTTAACTTTTAGTTATTTTTCGTTCATAGATGATAATTGATACATGGTCTAGAGTTTGTCGTTTGATGTCAATATTTTGTTGATTTCTCTGATCTTTGTGAAATTACATTAGCTGGACTAATTATAGCATATGAATAAAGTCTTAACTTTCATGGCTTTGCAGTATATATCTTTTCATGTTAAAATAAAAAAATGTACGTCTCAAATGGAGATGTTTCTTGTTTGTGAAAGGCCTGTTCTCCAAAACGACATTGTGTGGAGCCTGACAAAAAACGACAATGCATAGGCTTGACCAAGTGAGAATATGGCCTCGGAAGAAGGCATCATGATTTATAATTTTACATTTACTAATTCTGTTTTTATTTCCAAAAGAAATTAAAATACAAGCGTTTTTTTTGGAAACTTCATACACATACCATTCGTATATCACACATTTGGAAGTGTTCATTGAGGAAAAAGAAGAGAGAGTTAATTCTAACTAGGATTATATATATGCTCTTATATATAAAAGGGAAAACGTCAGAAATACCAAACAAGATGGTAAAAAAATATTATTTATGTCACTCAACTCAAAAATAAATAATTATCATTTAATTAATAAAAAAACAAAAGGACATAATAGCATCTAATTATTTCAAATGGCAAAAATAATAAGCTTGCACAAAACCATGGTGAAGTATATACCTAATTATTTAGAATGGCGTAAATAATAAGTTTGCACAAAACCATGGTAAACTATATACTTTTCTCTATATTGCTATATAAAACCAATCCTAACAGGAAGAATAAAATAATGGTGCTACAATATTGGATTTTGAGTTTCTTTCCTTTCTGAGTTAGGTCCTTGAACTCTTAATAAGTGAGTAATCGTTTGATTCTCAATCTAATTTTTTAAGCAAAACTGTTTGAATTTATATTTTTTCTAGCAATAGCAGTTTATCAAATTGTTAAATCAGTTAAATTTTAGATAGAAATAAAACAAAAAAAAGAAAAAAATAAACTTAAAGCAATATTAGCCATTGATCTCATATTCCATGAACTCACCATTCACCTAATTAAAATAAGTTGAGGTCAATATAATATATTACAACTTCATAACAAATTTTTGTCTAAACTTTTAACCTGACAAAAATTGTAATTTCATACAAAAAGGCCTAACCCTTGCCTCCTTTTTCACCACAAAATTTCACTTTTACCAATATTTGTATTTCATAAAATTTGTTTGAAACGTTTGATTATACCCTAATTTTGAATTAGGCATAGTCATATTTCGAACTTAACCGGGAGAAAAAAAAACATGTAAGACAGACAAAAATTAAAAACAATAGTTTATACTTTATCTTAGAAATATTTTTAGGATAAATTAAGGCTCTTCTATAATGACCTTTCCTCGGTCTAAGCCAAGCAAAAGGCACGAGAACTCTTCCCTTATCCGTTTATAAGAAGGAAGAAACAGTTGAATTGTCATCTTCTCAAGCATAGGTGAAGCAGAAGCAAGTAGTTAATGAACTCGATTTCGCTTTTATAACCGATGATTTTATCTAATCTCACCCGTCGCAACTTGGTGAATAGGAAATTCGTGTGGTCGTCTTCCAAAATGTTTGCGTTCACGTCCTCAAACATGGATCTATCCTGCATATATATGGAGTGTTACGCAGTATAAGAAAGTGCAACTTCCCAAATGTTTATTGCTAATTAAGTAAAAATGTTTCAGATGTATATAGAAAATCTTAAAAAGAGGGAGACCAATAGCTAGTCACCAAATTCATGGAAAATTACACATTTTTTAAAAAATAGATTCAATTCACTTGTCATATTACATGGGTATATGAATAAAAACTAGTGCATAATTTGGGTAAATTAAAAGAAAAATATAACATTAGAGCTGTTAGACTCACCGTCTGGAAAATGTCTGGTTCTTGTAGATTTGGGGCACTTCTTAGAAGCCAAAAGGCTGCTAAAATCTCTTTTTGACTCTTAAAGTTCACGGCCATGGAGAGATATTGGAGATTATGTAACTGCGGATATTCTTTTGGTAAACTTCTAAGAGCTAGACGCTGGAGCAAGAAGGCATCAAACAACATTAGAAATTAATTGAAGCTACACTGAAATTTGAGGGGATTTGAATGTTAACAAAACACAAAAAAAAAAAAAAGTTGAAATACGCACACATTATAGAAAAAACATATATATATATATATATATAATCGTCAATATCAGGTACTATCCATAGTTACGTGAATTTCAATAAGGGGTTTTTTTTTTCATCGTTATACACTGTATTTTGAGGTTATCAAAAAATCATAACTTGTATTTTTGGCTGTATTAAACTTATAGTACCTTCAGATTATAACCATAAAAAATACCTAAACACCCTTAAATAAAAAAGAAAATCCAAATTTTCAGGTCATATTTAGATTCAATACAAACCTTTTTTTTATGAATAATAATACAGGACATAAATTGGAAAAAAAAATAATAATAACACTCTTTTCAATATATATAGTAGACTGTTGCATTGTCACAAATTATTCACATAAAATCTTGATAATTCAAGTTTTAATTTCATGATGAA